GTGGGGACATTTTTGTCTTATCTCTGACCTTAGGGGGAGATCTAGTCTTTAACCATTAAATATTAAGTATCAATTGATTTTCGGGTGTTAAACTGCATTCCTTTGATGAATCTCATTTTATCATGATGTATAATTTATATTAGAATTGCTTTACATTTCTAGAAAACTTGATATCATCAACATGGAGTCTTCCAGTCCAAAATAATGTTTTTGTTCTTTTTTTTTCCAAGTTTAAAAACCATCTCTCTTGACTGAGTGTGGATCGTGGGCTCTGTATTTGGTAACTGACTTTTCCCCTCTATATTCTTGGATTTTCGAGGCAGATAATGATTTAGCATGCATATGGTATTAGCGGGATTCCCAGTGGTTCTTCTCCCCTGTTCTGCAGCTCTCATTTCTTTTCCTCTTTAATGTATCAAGTGGGACCTACAGAACACTGTTGAATGGAAGCAACGTACGACGGGCCCTTCAAGCAGTAGCGGAAAAATGCACATTGTGAACAACTATGTCTAGATGTCAAACTTATTTTGCACCAGAACAAAGTTTATTCCGTTTTTCCACAGACTTTGTGAAGTTCCCTCGTATATCCACAGAGGACATGTTTTCCTCAATGCGCGTACTTTTCACATTTCGCTGTCTGTGTATTTGTTATGGGTCCCCGTGGATGCTCTTTATTAACGTAGAACTTTTCTTTACATCCCTCTGTGAGTTCGCATTTGATTGAGTGCTGAATATTATCAAAATTGTGAAAGTCCTTATTGAAATGGCTCACCTTTGTCCTTTGGTACTCAATAGCAATGTGACACTATTATTACTCGGTAGTGAACAACTGAGTTTCTGGTTTAGAGCCTATTTGATTGTAATGCATTCTTGACTCCTGGATTCGTCGGTAATATGTATTTCCAGCTTTTGCATCTATGTCCATATTTAAGATTTCTCAATAGTTTTGTTTTTTTTTTCCTGTTCTTGGGTAATATTGGTACTAGGTGATATGACACTTACAAAATGAGTTTAGAGTGGGATCCATTGTTTTTCTATAGACTAAAATGATTTAACTAGTACATGAATGATTGACAGTTCCTTTAAGGTTGGGTATACATCAGATCTAAAGACTATCTGGGCCTCATTGGGAATAGCTCTTTGATTGTCCTTTAGGTGTTTATTTACCATTTCTCCTAAAGCATTGTATGTACCAGTTATATTCATGTACCAAGGAGTAGCCGGCCTTGTAAAATGTTGTGCATAAACCCCTGTCTTCGTTGAGTTTATAATCTGGAGAGGAAGACAGACACAAATCAAATGTCAGCACCAGTGTGAAACTGCTGTCGTGCTCTGACAGCTCAGGGAGAGCTCTGCCCTTGGCAGGGGTGCTGGGGCAGGCAGCTCCCCTGTCTAGGACCCAGGCTGGAGGGGCTTGGCTAAGTCAACAGCAAACGGGAAGGGAGAGCCCCGCCTCAGGAGCAGGAGCAGTGCACTCCCTGCAAGGCTGGGCGAGGGCCAGGCATCCAGGCTGTGCCGGAGTCCAGAGTGAGAGGTACAGCACGAGGTTGGGGCTGAGAAAAGATAAGCCTGGTTATGAAGTGAGCTCTTTCAAAAGATTTGTTTTGATAATATAGAGGAGATTTCTTATTTCCAGAAGAACACATTTAGATCTTTAAATTCCTTGTTGATAGCTCCATCTCTTGGGTTGTCAGGAAAGTCATGATGCATCTTGCTTAGGAAAACAGAAACGGAAACATGGCCTGACTTTCCTGACCACTCCTACCTCAGTGTCTCCAGTGGGGCACTCCTGCCACTGGGCGTTCACCTGCTGCAGGCTTGTCCTGGCGCAGCTGCCGAGCCCAGGGAGGAACTTGCCCTGGGGCAGATGCCCCGTGGCCAGGTGTGGCAGTGCTGGTCGAAAGCCACCAAGTCCAGGACTCAACCGCAGTCCAGCGACATAACTGCTGTGCTCTCTGCTGGCCCCTCGACAGAGTTCCACTGCTTTCTCAGCTCTTCACTCCTGGGACCTCGAGTTAATTTCTTGAAATTTTTCTGTTTATTTATTTTTGCTTAACCACATTCCCTTCCAAAATAGTTCAAAGAGTCATTTTCTGAGTACCAAGTATGTCTGAAATGCCATTTTGCCTTTGTGCTTGAATGCTAATTTGAAAAAAAATTTCATGTTTAAAATAAGTTTTCTTCAGAAACTTAAGGATAAATTTCCAATTTTTATGTATTTATTTACTTGCTTACTTACTTACTTGTAGGTTTTTGCCATAGGGCATATGTGCCTGCCAGGAAAGACAAAGAATGGAGGGAGGGAATGTGAGAAATCACCCTTTTGGGGACTCGAGGTGGAGGGGTGGCCATAATCCCTTCTCTACTCTTCTCTTGAGATTCTAGGCACACATGCACACGTTCCTGGTGTGATCTTTCAAGTCACCAGGTCTGGGACAGGCACTGTGTTCTGCCATGTGGTAGTTCAGCACCTGAACCACGATGCCACCTGCAGGCCCCATTTCCCCTGAATTTTAAGCCCACTGTTGCTATAAAGAATTGTGTCATGGCCAGCAGATGGGGTAGCGGTTATGTCGCTGGACTCCCACCATGGTTTGAGTCCTGTACCTAGTGGCTTGAAAGTCATGCTGAGCCCGTGTGCATGCGTGCCCAAGATCCCAGGAGGAGCATAGAGGATAAGGGATTGCGGCATGGCCATCCACCCTGGGGGATGACTTCTCATGTTCTCTCTCACTCTTTCTGTCTCTCTCTCTCTCTCTGGTGGGCACACATGCCCTAAAGCAAAAACTTCTCAAAAAAAAAAAAAGAAGAAAAGAACTATGTTCTGCTTGTAAATAATCTTGTATGTATGTATGTTTTGTGTATATGTGTGTGAAGGTACCTTTTACATTGACATTTTTTTTTTTGAGAGATTTTCACTGTAGGGCGCGTGCGCTCGCCAGACAGACAGAGAGAGACATAGAGACAGAAAGCGAGAAATCACCCCCCAGGGGGGATGGTCACGCCGCAATCCCTTCTCCTCCATTCTCCTCTCGGGATCTTGGGCACGCACGCACACGCGCCCGGCGTGAGTTTTAAGCCACCGGGTCCGGGACACGAACCGCGGTCGACTATGTGGGAGTCCAGCGACATAGCCATTACGCTAACTGCTGGTTCCCTACATTGACATTTTGACACTTAGAATTTGTAAATACTAAAATTGGTCTAGGTACTTTTATTCCTTCTTAGCATCTGAAGTTCCAAACTGAAAGCTTAATATTTGGGCAAGTAAAAAGGAACCCATGTTTAGATTCGCACATTAGACAGATGCCCTCTTTACTATCCACAATTATTTTTAGTTGATTTTCTTGACACACAATAGCATAATCAGCACACAGTATAATTTTTTCTCAAATATGCATATGTTGCATATGTTTTTCTTTCTGAATCAAAAATAATTATAATAACGTATCTTTTTCTTACTAACTTTAATGTCTTGACCTTAAAGGGAGGATTTTGATACTCTGTCATTATAGATGATACAGACTTGTTTTAAGGAAAATATTAATAGGTTTTATTTCTATTTTTCTGTTTCACTTTATTCAAGTCTTTGCTTCAAATGATGACAAGTTTCATCCTATGTTTTTTACCAACCATGAAGATAATCCTACAAATATTTTTCCCTTGTCTCATTACAATTATGAATTATAACAGACTTTATGATACTGAATAGTTCTGAATAAAGTATATTTTTAATGTTGTAATGCTATTAACATATTTCTAAAACTAATTTGGTTATAGTTTTATTTACATTTCTTGTTTCCAGGGTAAGTTGGTATATTGTTTTTTTAACATATGTTTTCTTCATCCATTTTCAGTATCAGTGACATAGGAGATATTGTAAGAATACCTGAGAAAGTGTTATTTTTTTCTCAATTTAGAACAAGTAAAAGGGTAGTCATACTTGAATCCCTATGGGCCTCATGCCTTTTATAGCAATTTCTGAATTTATTATTCTGTTTTGATTCATAGTTTCAATCTAATTTTATTTTTCTAGAAAATTGCCCATTTCATCTATAGTTTTATAGTTAGTACCATATTTGTGTTAAAATATTTTTAGAAAATTTTGCCAGAGGGCATGCACACACACTGGAGAGAGAAGGAGGGAGAGAGAGAGAGTGAGAGAAAGCACCCACCGTGGGACATGGTCACTCTGCAATCCGTTCTCCTCCAGCCGTCTCTCGTTCTCTTTTCAGGATTTTAAATGTACACATACATGCACCTGGCTTTTTCTCAAGCCACTGGGTCTAGGGCTAGAGCTGCATGGCTGCCCTATGGCATGCAGCCACCATAACCACCATGCCACAGCATGGCCTGTGCTAACGTGTTTTTAAGCAGCCTACATGATGGTAGGCAATCATTACTGTTAATTAGTAATTCAAGTCTCATGAATTTATACAATAGGTGAGTTATTCTTCTATATTTCCTCTGGAAGAGGTTCTCAGGTGGCAGAAGGGCTCTCTAAAAGTTACGCCAGTGACTGCTAGCAACATGGAAATGTTCCAGTGTTATGATACCCAGCACAACGTACACACACGTGCAGCTGAGGGTTTGGGGTTGTTCTTGTTGGGATCTGCAGTATTATTAGCATGTAACAGTGACACACACACTTGCATATATTTATTTACTTATGATGCTAGTTTCCCACCAATTAGAGTACAGAGTAGCTGAAATTAATACAATCATACACGGCAAAATGACTTTTTGGCCACTGATGGACTTCATGTATGATAGGGGGCTAGTAGGCTGCATCCCATAACCCAAGTATGCAGGAGGCTGTAACCTCTAGGTTTATGTAAATACGCTCCGTGCTGTTCACGCAGTGACGACATCACCCAGTGACGCAGTTCTTGGACGGCACTCCACTGCGAAGCCATGTGTGGCTGTATTTATTTCACGGTAACGTTTCCCTGTGGATTGGATTCCCATTGGCTTACTCTGATTTTATCATTTGTCTTTAGATATATGCAAAAAACCTGGTGAATGCCGATCGTTGTGCACTCTTCCAGGTAGACCATAAGAACAAGGAGTTATATTCAGACCTTTTTGATATTGGAGAGGAAAAGGAAGGAAAACCTGTCTTCAAGAAGACCAAAGAGATAAGGTACAGCTACAGGTGAAATGTCCTGTGCCTCACTCCAGGTGTGCAGGTGTTCCGCTACCCACTTCTCTGTGCCTGTTCACAGGTATGCTGACAATACTTGTCATACTGTGATATCATTCCCACCAGGACCCGCCTCCTGAAGGTAGTACTTCTGGGAATGACATTGCAGTGCCAGCGAAACCACGCCTAGGAAGCTTTAGCGTCACTCCTGGAAATGCCGTCTTCCGGAGGCGGTCCTTTTGGAAATCATGTTGGAAAAACTTACTAGTGCTCCCAGGTAGGTAAAGGTGCACTCCACCTGGAGTCTGCAGGCTTCCCTGTGTCTCAGAGCAGGGCTCTACTGGCCAATTGGGCCCCCACTCCTTCCCAACCTGTGAGCCGTCTCACAGCCTGGACAGGTGAAATCCATCGACCTTTAATGACTTAAACTCGTCCTGTAACGGCCCGGCGGTCTAATCGACTGTAAGCACACTTGTTGCATCTTGAAACTGAAATCACTTGTGCTCAGTGGCAGCTGCTGTCGCTTACGTGCACGGCATGGAGTGTGTTTTGTTGGTGGAGGCTTGGTGGCTCAATTGTTCCACAATCTGGAACCCTACAAGGAGCACTGTCACAAAACTTTTAAGAATCAAAACTTAGAAGTTGAAAACTCTTTTAAAGATATTTGATTCTTTTGTTTTCTGTGTCCTATTTAACTATTCTTCTATATACTAGTATAAAATTCTCTTGTAATTACAGCATGCTAGTAAAAAGCTGTTCTGTGTTAATTAAGAATTGCTGTTTATCTGGGCAGTCTGTCATATAAGGAAAATAACGTCAAGGAATCTCAGTGTGGCCCTCCATGGGCCTTCCCCTGTCAGCCCTGGACACCTCCAATTCGCGTGATAAATCTTACATGTAATATTCACAGGATTCTGAATGATAGGCGCTGTATGGAGGGTGCTGAGAAAGTACATGAACATGTGTATTATGAAAGAAACTACAAATAGGTCTTTCTTTTTTTTTTTTGCACTAAAATAAACAAGAACTTTAATTCCATGTACTTTTCAATTCTCAAATAGGTATTAGGGATTTTTAAATATTTACTTTGATTTCTAGTTTACATATAACCGTTGTACACCGTAGTGGGATACAGTACGACTTTGTCCAAGCACGTACACAGTGTGTGATGCATACACATATTCGTCTCCTTCCGGCACGACCATCACATTGTGTGGTTTGTGTTTTTACCGTCAGCCCACCAGTCTGTATGCAGTCACGCAGTTAAAGCCGTTTCTCTGGCTGAAGGTTTGAGTATTACGGGACACGTCTCATACTGATCTGATTTGGGCAGCAGTAACTTAGTGCCCATGTTTGCCGGCAGAGGAAGCACAGAGCGTGGCTGGGCGTGCCCTCGGGACTGCTCTGTGCTGGCCAATGACAGACAGGCCTGGCCCCGGAGCAGAGCACAGGGTGTTCACGTCACGGCTGCCCTCACCCCTGTGCCCCGGCACACGAGCGCAAACCGCAGTGGA